CTGCCATAGTGTGGCCGAGTTATCCGGAGTGCCGGGTTATCGAGAGCCGAGTTTTCGAGGTTCTACTGTATTGGCTTACATAGCTGTTTGTTACCTTGAAATGCACTATATATTTTTTAATTGTATAATTATTCTGTCATATGTTTATCGCGTAATGTAATATTATATGGTTAAATTCTTTTATCTCTTATTACTTTAATTTTATTTGTCACGCGACATTTCTATATTAATATATACACGGTTTTCTGAACTTTTGATTTATTTAGTCATTCTCGAGAGTTATAATATAGCTATTTTCTCTACCTTTGTTCTAGACGTGAAAGAATATCGGTACTTTTGTAAAGGTAAGCGTAAATATAGTCAGAGCATACGTAGGATCTGTTTGCTTATTATTAACATACCCACAGGTGTAACTATAATTTCGCACTGCACTTAAGGTTGGAGCGTGCAATATAGTTGACCGAGTTAAAAGTAGTGCTTTGTCAAACATTATTGAAATTACTATTTAATTACACACTGTTATATAATGTAATTATTATTATGGTTCACTCTTGTATTAATATTTCGACTAAAGGATGTCACATATCTTGCTGGGGGCGATTATATGAATTGCAATTATCCTAGCGATGTATTGTCTCTACCTCACTCACAAACACTCATGCTTGTGTATCTATGGATGTGGAACATAATTTAAAGCCTAAAAACTCCTGTAACTTTTGTCGAAATTTTTGAAACTTTGCACAGACCTTTCTATATTGGAAAATTGGGCTGATGCGGCACTTTAGAACACTGGCCGAGAAAGTACCACAACTCGTTGCTGGATTGTTTTTTTTTCTTTTTTATTTATATGCTATGATGTAATTAGCACAATTTGCTTATAGTAGCTAACATCATGAACGTAACGCTTCCATTTTGAACGTAATTACTCTTAAGAATAAATTTATTTATTACAGAAAATTTCAAAAACTTGAAATTTCAGCTATGGAAAGCTTCTTAAGGTGCGTTTTTTTTTTAAAAAAAAATTTTTAGTTTGAACTTATATCACTAATTCTTGTTATAAAGTAATAAAAATATTTTCTTTGTTATTGAATTTCAACTGTATTTTTTCTGTTTTCAAATCTGTTAAAATGCTCACAAACGACAGAGTTGGATTAATGCTTTTTCTAAGTGTTGAATATTACTTCTGTGCTTTTGAAAAAAATGAGAGTACGTCAGGTAGGAGTAGGAATATTAACTAATGTTTTACTAAGTAAAAAAATTAATTAATTGAAAATTTTTTTTATATATTTTAGTAATTGAACGTAGGATGATTGGAGGAAGGGTGGCAAAATATGGAGAATTTCCATTTCTGGTGAGTTTATAGGTGTAAACAGTTATGTTCCGGCTACTTTACTCATAAGGAATATTACACTAATTTAGGTAGCAATATTTGAAAAAGAAGAATTTCAGGGGTGTTTTACGTTAATCACATCACAAACATTAATAGGAGCAGCACACGTTGTAGAAAGGTATGTTTTTTTACTTTAATTTTTATTGGAAATTTCATCAGGAATTTTATTTTACAATGAATATTTTGATATAAATTTGGTTAACCAGAGGAAGACAGAATGCCAAAAACTGAAACAATTAGATATAACAACGATAAATTATTTATTTAAAATTCATTTTGATCTAGCTATGAAATTGAAAATTATTATGGAAGAATAGGTGACACTAACAAATATAAAGGGAGGAAATTGCTGTTTAGGAGTAAGATGATACACCCACGTTATAATTCAAGAGAGAATCACGATGACATTGCGGTTCTGATTGTTAAATATTATGTTGAAAATATATCTCCAATTACTTTACCTGGAAAAAACTTAAGATTTACTAATGGTTACGCCAAGTTTGTCGGTTGGGGAAACATTGGTTACAGTAAGTCTGCTATTTTTCTGTATTATTTAAAGTCAATACGACAATAAAAATAATATAAATGATATTTTATGTAATTTAGATGAAGAAGACGACACAGACATTCTACGAGTAGCGGACGTAATGTTAGTAAGGCCAAAACTCGTGGAACGTTTGTTTGACATAACTTTAACTAATGGAGTAATTGTAACGATGACGCCTGGGACGATCGCAATGAAAGTAAAGAAGTTATTACTCTTAACATTATGGTTATAGTTAAATGTTACCCTGTTATTTATGAAGTTTTATATCTTATAGGGAGATTCTGGCTCACCGCTGATCATCACAGATGCGGTAAAAGGACAAATTCTTATTGGCATTTTGTCTTCTGGCGGTACCAGAACTAACGAACCGGATATTTACATGTCAACCAGTTTTTATTATGATTTTATACAAAGTCGCACCTTTGGACGTCTCAAATATTTAGAGATGTAGAATTAAAATGATTTTGTGTTAGATAACTTTATTTATTTATTTATTGTATAAGTAAAACGTTAAAAAAGGCTCACGTTAAACTTGGATATGATTCAGTTTACTCTAGGTAAATTTACTCTACGTAAATTGAGTCATATTCTACTCTTAAAACTGTCTTATTTTCCTTTTTATAATAATTAATAATATAAAAGTTATTTTTTTACACTTTTACTGAATTTACTGTGTTTTTTTAGTCTGTCCGTCTAAAAAAATCTGTACATGAATTTTCTACCACTTTCTTATTTTCGATTTTATTGAAACTTAGTACATATGTATTCCCTATGAAAATAGGATTTTTGCAAACAATTTTAAGGTAGTAATGGCCGAACGCCGTTTCTGTAAAACGTTTCTTAAACGTTTGACCTCTGTAATAATCCTGTGTTCTTTTATTCTTTGTTGATAAATAGCGTTAAAATATCTGACCACAGAGCTACTTGTTAAATAAACAAACGTCTTATCGTAGCCCCCAGGACAATGTCGGTAAAAGATAGCGATTCTTTTGTTTTGTATGCTTTTATTCGTCTCTAGTAAAGTCAGAAACATCCGATTTTTAACATTATTTTGAAAAATCGTTTAGGTATTAGATACGTGAAGAAATCACGGCAAATTCCACATTGCCCGCTTGATACTCAAGTGATACAAACAATCGGTATTCATTGATGTTATCCATTCAGCTTTGGTAGGCCTGTAAATTATTCAAGTTCCTTTTAATAAACTAATTAGTCACTCGTATAAAATTTTTCTTTAATCTGCTTCTTTTATAACGTAACATTTAAATACATCAGAAACTTCACAGACAACAGTGGTTGGAATAAAGTGTTGTAAGATCCAAAAGGCATTTCACCTCAAATTAGCATTCTGATTAAATTTTTCTTCCGAAATTGTCTGTGTAAGCATTGAATTTTCCTCGGAAGTAACATTCTTTATAAACAGAATATAATTGTTTCCAGTTATTGGTCGAGTGATTGTAAAGTACATATATTTAACGCTCCATTATATTTACCAGTCCAAATTTCTTATACAGTAAGACCCCACTTAACGCGGAGAATGCATTCTAGACGACAAAGTGCTAAACGAAACAGTGTTAAACAAGATCGTTTTAACATAGAATAAATAGGAAAAGGGAATGCGACCAAAAATAAGCAGATTTTACTTTAATTTTTATATTAATTTGCATAATAATATATCTTAAATAACAAATGAACATATGCACATAGAAATGTAAAGTTAATTTTTTGTGACGAAGGATCTGGCACTTTGAAATTCTTGCTTTTTGCGATAAAGTCGCGTAGTTTCATTCGTCGCTTTTTATTCTTTCCTTAAGCAAATCTCGGTAGCGGAAGATCGCATCCAAAACGCATCGTCTCGCTTTTGCACTCCTTCAAAATCTGGATCATTCGCTTCAATTTGATCAGTTACAATTTCAGTTATCGTTACTAAACTTTTACTAAGGAAATCTGTAGAGAAATTCTTTGGGTTCTTCGTTTTCAGAATCTCTATTTTTCAGTTCTACGTGAATTCCTTGTTCTGCCAGACCTTGAAGGTGATCGTTGGTAAGATTCTCTCCAGAAACCTGAAGTAATTCCTCAATATCATGCTTGTCTACATCTCCTGTGCTTTATCGATTAGGTTGACAATTTGGTCAACCTAACGATACAGCGACAGGCTCTTCTCGTGGGAATTCTATGATACTTTCAGTCATAACTTCTTCCACATTCCGTATACGCATTTATCATTTCATTCTTGACAAGCGAAGTCGATATTGCCTATGGCATCCATGATGTTATATTTTTTTCAAAATTGCACAAAACAAACATAGATTTAAGGGGAGTACAGCGCTACGACGAAATGCCACATTTTGCTGATTGGTTCGTGTTCGTAAATAATCGTATTATATGCGAATCAATGAAATGCCGCGATGATTTAAATCAGAGTAAATTTTGAACATTTTTTAGGCTTCGAGCAGACCGCGTTATATCGAATCAGCGTAAATCGAGGCAGCGTTAAGCGGGGTCTTATTGTATTTATATAACAAGACGTGCAAAAGACATTTCCGTAAACAATAGTACAAGAACGTCTTACTCTCGCACATTTGGCGCTACAGACAACGAAAAATCGGTTTCCATTGCAAAAGTACACCTGCTACATCAAATTGTAGATAATACGCTGTCGATACAAATGGCATCTGAGACTGGTGGAAGTAATTTTCATCAACTATGATGGCCAGTTAAGTTGCCAGAACGTGCATTTCATTTAAAGTTGTTCTATGAAAATCAACCCTGAAGTTCATTACAATTTACTCCAAGGACCATTAAATCCACAATTACACGAATTCGAAGAAAATGGATATCTGGAATAACCCGGTCAACTGAACAAACTTAACAGTTCATAATTCGTTGAAGATGTTATCACAGCTGTTGTTAAACACTCTATTAATAATTTAAATGCCTTTGTGTCTTTAATATATTAATTTAAACTTAAAACGTCACCAGGACTTATCTATTATTAGAAGTTCTATTACCCAGTATAATAAGTCCTAATAATAGATAAGACCTAGTTGACGTTTTAAGTTTTAAATTAATCTATTAATAATGTTGCAGTTCCACGGCAATTTTGTGTATTCTTTGGCACGCTATTCATTGTTCTGGGCACAGGATTACCGACAATCAGCAGTTGCTCGCCGCCGACACGGAATTCCAGCCGATAATTTCATTTATCTGATTGTCGTGGAAGATCCAATAGAGCGGTGAAACACCTTTTCAGTTTAGTGAATAGAGAGAACAACCATAACTCACATATTAGGGCCATCGATAACATTTGTGTTTCGCAGCAGATTCCCTGCAATCGGATGAAGTTAGGCTAGTCTAAATTCACGACCAGACTTATTCTTAAAACATTTTTCTTAGATGTTATTTTAAACAAGCCTATCATATGCCCTGTGATAGCAAGGATACACAGAAATATCAAGATGTTCATCAGTTTTGCACAAAAGATCACGTACACGGGGGTAATCGAGGCACATACTCCTCGTTTGCTCCTTTCCTTGTCCCCAAAGCGGCCCTAAACAACAGAAAATATAGATTTCTAGCCTGTTCTACAATATATAAAAAAGAACTTATAAATGATATTTGTCCATTGAGCCATGCCATTTCTTCCTGTAAACATCAGTTTTCTAGTAAAGTAAGAGATTGAAGTCATTGGAACTTACTTAACAACGATTTTCTTTGACATGAAAATTAATGGAATGGCCTGAGTTACTTCTTAATTTATCGAAGAAAATAAAGATAGTAACTGCGTAACAGCGGTGCTAACGTTCTACAGAAGAAAATGTTTCAATTTTTGCATTATCAGGTTTATTATCAATATATCACTCTAAAACATAATGTGAATTTTACCTTAAGTATAGACTTCTTCGTTAAATGGAAGAAATTCATCGCTCTGAAACCTTTATCTCCTTTCGATACCTTCAACAGCACTAATGCCTGATAGAATATTGCATTGNAAGACCTAGTTGACGTTTTAAGTTTTAAATTAATCTATTAATAATGTTGCAGTTCCACGGCAATTTTGTGTATTCTTTGGCACACTATTCATTGTTCTGGGCACAGGATTACCGACAATCAGCAGTTGCTCGCCGCCGACACGGAATTCCAGCCGATAATTTCATTTATCTGATTGTCGTGGAAGATCCAATAGAGCGGTGAAACACCTTTTCAGTTTAGTGAATAGGGTGAACAACCATAACTCACATATTAGGGCCATCGATAACATTTGTGTTTCGCAGCAGATTCCCTGCAATCGGATGAAGTTAGGTTATTCTAAATTCACGACCATACTTATTCTTAAAACATTTTTTTAGATGTTATTTTATACAAGCCTATAATATGCCCTGTGATAGCAATGATACACAGAAATATCAAGATGCTCATCAGTTTTGCACAAAATATCACGTACATGAGGGTAATCGAGGTACATCCTCCTCGTTTGCTTTTTTCCTTGTCCCCAAAGCGGCCCTGAACAACAGAAAATATAGATTTCTAGCCTGTTCTACAATATATAAAAAAGAAGTAGTAAATGATATTTGTCCATTGAGCCATGCCATTTCGTCCTGTAAACATCAGTTTTCTAGCAAAGTAAGAGATTGAAATCGTTGGAACTTACTTAACAACGATTTTCTTTGTCATGAAAATTAATGGAATGGCCTGAGTTACTTCTTAATTTATCGAAGAAAATAAAGATAGTAACTGCGTAACAGCGGTGCTAACATTCTATAGAACAAAATATTTCAATTTTTGCATTATCAGGTTTATTATCAATATATCACTCTAAAACATAATGTGAATTTTACCTTAAGTATAGACTTCTTCGTTAAATGGAAGAAATTCATCGCTCTGAAACCTTTATCTCCTTTCGATACCTTTAACAGCACTAATGCCTGATAGAATATTGCATTGAATATCAACGAATTATTTTTAAATATCAAATTTAACGAGATTTCTTACCATTCTGTTATCCTTCTCGTCGTTTTCGAAGTAACTATCCATGATGCAGGACGTGAAATTACCAATCTAATTCGTAAAATTAACGAAATAATCAGAATTTTATTAAAATAAATTGAAATTTAAAGCCAAACTTACCGCAGTCGATATCCCAGCTGCCCACATCAAGCCAAACACCGTGCCTATCAATTGAAGTAGAGAAAAAAGTTGCACGAAATAATTTTTAGAAAATATGGCAGCTATAGTAACGATGTTTATTAATGGTACGTAAACGAGTATGACAAAGGCGTGCATGCTTTGGCAGAAGTTGTCGACAATTTTAATGAAATGTGTGATTGCAACGAATTCTTTCGTGAGAGTTTTTATGTGCAAAATGTCTCTCTTCGATCTATTCTTCAAGTCTTTCACAAAATTTTTCATTACAACAATGCAGCTGTATACGAGAATTAATTGCAAACCAGAGCAAAACGAAACGATAAAAATCTGTAAGTTTAATCCCATAACAACATGAATTACGCAAAATGTTTCTCGTGACCCCGATTTCAGACTGCCGAAATAGTTTCTAAATAAGAA